GACAAACCAAGTCAAACCAAACCAGACTAGTTCAGACTAGAAAGAAAAATTAGGTCTAAACAAAAACATCCCTAACTAAAAAAAAGAAAAAATTGTCCATAATAGGACTAAAACTTACTTAAAAAGCCATAATAGGACTTACTATGTTTTATTCCCCCTAATAGGAGTTATACGGTTCTACAGGTATGTTTAACGCTTTAAGCAATATCCAAAATACCCCTGCCTATGTTTGCCATTACGCCGCAGGTGTTACCGGCTATTTTCGGTAATCCATGTGTGAAACCATTTATGAGTTTCCGTTAGTTTCCCTCTTTGATCGAGATTCTTTCCAGAAAATCAGTTTCCTAAATCAGTTGGGAAGTCAGTTGAGGTACTCTGTTTTTTTTTCCGCGTTATTCTTCTTCTTCGTCAATCATCTTCTTCGCGATTTGTTTGAGCTGTTCGTCCTTCTCCTCTGCATTCATCTTCTTCCGCCATTGTTCGTTCGTTCGCAGAGTATGTTCACCGAAACTTTCCTGTATAGTCCTTCTTCACCAATCATGGTTAAATTTATGTTGCAATTGCTCTCATTTTGCTTCTAGAATATGTCACTTCGTCCGTTGTACACATGTCGTTCTGCAATCATCAATATGTTTTATTCCTCTGTATTTGGCTTCTACAATATTAACAAAAAATTCAAAATTTTTATAATCGATTTCAAATTCATTATTGTTAATAATTTAGCTCGTTTGCTTTTCATCAACTCTATCAATGCTTTTATTTCATGAAATTTCTTCGTATGTTGCTATTTCTGCGTTTAATCTTGGTGTTTAAATTGTGTCTTGCTGTAAGTACTAGATTAGGTTCTTCATAACTGGCTCTTTTGTATTTGTAACTGTCATTTTGTATTGTTTGCTGATTTGCCATTTTGTGTGGTAAATATTATTTATACATCCTTATAGACTGTCACATATTCACGCAAACTGTCATTTTAGTATAACCAACTTTCTTCTTTCATGCTTCTGTTATACTGAAATATTTGTTTTTCCTTCAATTTTTAGGAACCTTTTTGCACAATGGATCCTGTTTTACTTGTTATGGTCAAGGTCGATGGTTTTTGGGATTCTGACTATGTGTTCACCAATGTGCACACATGTGGGCTTCATGTTAACTATGGTGTTCAATATGCTTGTTTTGTTGATATGTTGACTGCCATCCTTTCTCAGTACAAACCTAATCATAATTTCAGGCTTTCTTATATGAGAGATGGATTCCCTCCTCCTGTAACTATAAATGATCAATCTACCTTAACATTTTATCTTTATATCAAGTCTCTTCAACCAGATTTTCTAAAGTATCCACTTTGTGTTGAGTTTTATCCTATCTCTTCTTCATATCCATCTTTTGTTGGTGTTGAACCTTCTGCTTTTCCTTCAGCTAAAAATGTTGTCATTTCTTCAACTCATTCACTTTTTGTTGATGAGAATGTTGTTGTTTCTTCCCAACAACATGCCTCCTCACCTGCACTCTCTTTTGATCATAGCTCATCTTTTTGCACTGAAAATGTTAACATCTCTGGTAGACACTCTCAAGATGTTGCTTCTTGTAGTAACACTGTGTCTAGAGCTGTAGAAATTGAAACATCTGAAGACAGTGATGAAGGCATGGATGACATGTCAGATGGCTTAGTAATAGAATCATCTCAGTCACTGTCATTTCTCCACAATTTTGAAGTCATCACACAGTCCCATCCTACTTGTCTTGTTCTATATGCTATTTACAAAAGTAAAACAGACCTTATCCACCATCTGAAGATGTATGCTATCACAAACCACTTTCAATACAGAACAAAGACCTCTAGGAAAATATCTTTACATGTTATTTGCTTAGATCCAAAATGTCGTTGGACTGTTCGAGCTGTAAGACTACCTGGCGTACAAATGTTTCAAATTAGAAGGTAACTTCTTATTTCATTCTTTTTGTTTGACTTCGTTGTTAATTCTTGTTTATCAGAATGCCATGTATTGGTGACATTCTTGTCCAAGAATGCCAATTGTATATTACTCACTTGTATAAAACTGCCATTGTTTTGTCATTTTAGATTCTGTCCAGAACACACATGCTCTATTGATTATAGACAAGGCAAACATAGACAGGCAACCGCTACTGTGATAGCAAAACTTATTGCACACAAATACCTTGATGCTTCCAATAAACCGTACCCACCAAAACAAATTCGTGAAGACATGAGTATGCAATATGGAATTTCCATGTCATACAAAAAATCTTGGAAAGCACAGAAGAAAGCAATGCAGCTGCAATTTGGTTCTGATCTTGAATCCTATCAGGTTTTGCCTTCTATGGCTTATGTGCTTGAGATGGCGAATCCTGGCTCTATGTTTGATCTAGTCACAGGGAAGGATGATGCATTTTGTACCTTTTTTATGTCATTCAGAGCATGGATAGAAGCTTGGCCTCACTGTAGACCTGTTCTTATACTGGATGGTTCATTCCTGAAGGCTTACTATAAAGGCACTCTTCTTACAGCTTGTTGTCAAGATGCCAATGATCACATAGTTCCTATTGCATTTGGTATTTGTGAGTCTGAAACAAAATCTTCTTGGAAATGGTTTTTATCCAAAGTCTGTCAGTCAATACAGTACAGACATGACCTTTATGTAGTATCTGATAGGCATAAAGGTCTTATAAAGGCTGTTTCTGAAATCTTGCCACATGCTAGCCATGGTTTTTGTGTTGCTCATCTGCGTCGTAACATGACACACAAATTTAGAGGATCTGCAGCTACTTTGGGATGGAAGTTCAAAGCTGCCTATATGGCAGCAACTGTTAAAGAATATGATGACTACTTATCCATGTTGGATTCTGAAAACTCCAGGATAAGGACTTGGCTAGACAAAATAGGTGCTAACACATGGTCAAAAGTAATTTCTAGACCAAAGAGATATAATATTATGACCTCCAATTGTGCTGAGTCTATGAACAAAGTCAATGTATGTGCAAGAGAGTATTCAGTCTCTAAACTTGTTGATTTTTTGCGTGAAAGGATGCAACAATGGTTCACAGAGAGGAAAGATAAAGCTGAGAAAACAAGTACTATACTCACACGGAAATGTGAGAAACTTCTTGTAGCTTTGCAAGCTGAAGCTACACGTATGAAGGTATGTCAAAGCTGATTTTTAACCATAAGTCAGTTCTCAGTTTTTTATCTGGTTATATAATGCCACTTTGTTTATCACTATGTCATTTTGATTCTGCATATCTGTCAGTTTTGTTCTTGTGTTAGTATATTGTTTAGGTACTTCATTTTTATTCTAATTTGATATTCATATTTTGGCCATTTCCTAGGTGAAACCATCATGTGCATATGAATTTGAAGTTGTTGATAGCAGATGCACGTCCTTTGTGGTCAATCTCAACTCTAGAAGTTGTACTTGTGGCCACTTTCAACTAGATCACTTTGTTTGTGTTCATGCTGTTGCTGCAATTGCTATACGCCCACATCTGTCATGTTATACTTACATTTCTCCTTTTTATACTAGAGATGCTTGGCTTGCTACATGGTCTGGTATTATGCATCCAATTGTTGATCGTGACAGTTGGTCTGTTCCTGCTACTATTCAAAACCAACTATGCAAGCCACCAACTTGTATGAAGCGTCCTCATGGTCGCCCGAAGAAATCCAGGATTCCATCCATTGGAGAATATAGAGGTTCAAAAAGACAAAAATGTTCTAGATGCCATGTGCTTGGCCATAATAAGAAAACTTGTAGGAATCCCATTCCAATCAATACCCAGTGATACCCATGGCTAATTCATTGTATTTTGTCTTTTGTTTTTATAAAGTACTTTTAAGAATTCTATTATGTGGTTTGGACACAGTTATCATTTGTTTAAATGTTCTGCCATTTAGTTTTCAGGCCTTGTGTTTTGGCATTTTGTTTACTCGTAACTGACATATGTCAGATTTGATGGCAATTTCTGTTCACAATTGATGACAGTTTGTTATGGATAGAAGTCAATGATGTATTTGACATTTGATGTCAGTGTAATAAATTTAGCCATTTCCATTGCCCACAATGGCATGCCAATATTGTGATGTCCTATTGTATATGCGTAATTGATATTGTTCATTGTTGATGTCATTTGGGTTTCTAAAAAATGTCATGTAACTGTCATTTTATGTCATTTACATGCTGCATGTACTCAAATCTGACCCCACAAACAATCCTTGCATATGAAACTACAAGTATCCTGTACATAAACATGATTGAATAAACTTGCAGGAATCCCATTCCAATGAATACCCAGTGATTTACCTTTGCCAACTCATTGGAAGTAGTTATAATTTCCTTAAACATTTAAGGTATTGATTTAGCCATTCTGCATATAAACAAAATTCTATCATTCAAATGTTCTTTACTCACAATTGCAGATCAATTCTCTGATGTCATTTTAATTATTAAAAATGACATATGTTTATATATCATGTCAATTGATGATACCACAAATGTCATCTAAAAATTAACACAAGTATAGATGAACACAAGTATCCTATGAACTATTACCATTTGAAACATACATTCATAGGTTCTGTTCGAAAAACAATAACAAAGTCAAACAACATGTTGTTCGAAAACAATCACAAATGATAAACATAATTGTTTCAAAACAATAACAAAGGATAAGCATAATTGTTTCAAAACGAATGTACTGGATGTTCCAAAAGTACTATTACATATTAAAAGCTGCACTTCATTCTTTCTCAGCCTGCCTTCTCTGGCTGTATAGAACTAGCTCAGTTGCCATTTTTTCCCTAAACAAGGGTATTGCTTCAGGATATATGGCATCCATGTCCATCTCTACCATTAGAAATTCTGCCATCTTCAACATGTATATTCCACAGTTTCCCCTGATGCATAACATAAAGAAAAAACATTTTTTAAAAATAATAAAGAAGTTCACTATTACGCAATCTGTTTAAGTAAATTTATATGCTCTTACCCATCATCTTGTTGTGGACATCCTTCTACAGGATCTACTTCCAAATACCGTTCACCCATAATCTCTTCACCCATCAGTTCGTAGACTCTGTGATAATCCATAATTCTGGGCAGGAGCACAGTTATGCTTGCATAATAGGATCTGATATCCCTCAGTGAATCACCTCTTCTAGCATTTGAATTGTACACCCTAACTTTTCTTTGCTTGATATCTAGTACTAACAACACCCAATGATTGCCAGTATTCAGAGGAAAGTACACATAGTCTGCCTTGCTCCAGTGTAGGCTATAGTTGTTAGCACCTATTATTTCACGCACAATGTTATCTTGTTCTGCTGACTTGTGGTATGTGTAGTGCCCCTTTGATATTGTGTCAAGTTCACGCTTGAGTATTTGCAAGAAAAAAGGGCCAGTTGTGGTATACTTCTGTGGCAGTTTGTAATGCACCCTTTTCATGCCCAAATAGTACATTACTACCTCAACATGCTGTAAGAAGTAAAATACACATTTATCATTTAAAGGTAAAGCAAACTGACTAATAATGTCATTCTGTACTGACTCAGATGTATTTAAATTTACACTTTGTCATTAAACTGACAACTCTATGATCATTTGTATGCGTACCTTGTCAGTGATCCATTGGTGATTCATAAACAGGTCATATAACCATGTTTTTTATTCAACTTTCATTGTATCTAACAAGAATGGTTTGTTGGTCATTCTGTCTTCGTCCTTTTTGTACCTTCTGCCAGTTTTGTTTTTGTGAAGTTCTTCAGCAATCCAACTTCTAAGTATTCTTTCACCTTCTGTATTTCTTCAACCGGTGGGTTCTCTGTTGGATCTTCAGAGAAAGGTCCAATTATTTGCTTCAGAGGTGGCAGAAATTCATCATCTTCTCTTTTCTTTCCCTTTTCTCTCTTCCTCCTCTTTGATGCATGCTCAGTTCCCATGTACTTGACTGGTGACCTAACAACACGCTTTTGTTTGGGAAGATCCTCCTAAGGCATTGGCATAATATATATTATTTACTATGTTGTTATATGTTTATTTAAAAGAAGTAAGATACAGTCAATGTCATAGTACAAAATGTTCATAAACATTGACAGTTGAATATCAGTTTAACAATTGAAAATGCCACATGAATGGCATTTTACTGAGTTTTTGCATTTACCTGATCAGTTATTATGAGTGCTCTGCATGGATTAGAAGAATAGCTTTCAAAAGCCTTTTTTGCCACTTCATCTGCACTCCTGCACATCTCTTGGACAAACTGACTATTTTCCTGTGAGCCCATCCCCCAAGCAGACTCACCAGTGTCTTTTTTATTTTCCTGTGCAGGTAGTCCCTCCTCTTGCATTTGGACACTATCTTCAATTTTTTTCTGACTACCTTGAGACTGAGTGAGTATTTTGAATGTAGGCATGTCACAAATTGCTTCTTCAGTGTTCTTTTCTATCTCCTCAGTGTTCTTCTCTTGCATTTCGTTTTCATTTCTTTCTGCATCCTCATTCTCTTCTTTATCATCCTCAACCTCTGCATCAGCATCCTTATTCACACATGAATCCTCACTCTGAACATTTGCTGCCTGTTTCTCTTTACTAGCATGCTCATTCTCTACAACATCATCATTCTGTACAACACCATCCTCAGCCTCTGCATTCATCAACCTAGTGTCCTCTTCCACAGCCATATCAGCAACATCATTCTCAGAATCTGGCCCAGTCATGGCTATCACATCATCTTCTTTTTCTTTTTCATTTTCTTCTTTTTCTTCTCCACTTTCTTCTTCATCTGTATCACCCTCTGCAGTTGCTTTTGTAGGCTCACTCTTCTCAACACCCTGTGACATTTTGTTGAGCATCAGAATGACATCTTTCAAAAGATCCTCTTGCTTTTTTTGATTCTTCTTCATATTTTTCATTTCTGCCACTAATCTGGCAGTCTCCTTTGCTTGTTTTCTGATGCTCTTTTTAATACTTTTGTTGTCTTTGCTCATGAAGAATACATACTTATCTGCTTCCCTTCCACTCTCACTAGAATCATCACTATCGGTCTCTTCACCTTCATCACTTTCTTGATCACTTGAATCATCATCACTCTCTTTTTCTACTGTAGTATTGTTTCTTCTTCTTCTAGAAGGCCCTTCTTGAGATTTGATTGCTTTACCTGTGCTCCTCCCAGCTTTTGTTTTTTTTTTTTCTTTTGAATACTTTGGCCTGCATCACCTTTTGTTTCCCTTTTGCTACAATAGTATTTGGCTTTTGAGCATCAATCCTGCCAACATTGTTTATCACAAGGTGCATCACCTCCTCATTTATGTCATTTCCCTCTTCTATCATAGCAATCTCATCTGCAGTTGGTACTATCTGTGCCCATTCAAACTAAAACAAAAAACCATGTTAGTAAACAATGTGTGCACATAAACATTTAAAAATTTACATATTAATCAATAACATACCTTGTCATTCTTGAATATAATTTCAGAAAGGACCTCCAGTGTAGTTTTTTTTAAACTCCCACTTTAGAGTCCTTGGTATGATATGTCTTGTCCCCTTGATGACTTTGCATAAGCCAGCCTTTGATAAACCAGGAAAAGTTTCAAATGCCCACCACTGGAATGCCATTATGAAGCCAGGGAATGTTACTCTGTCTGCTTTTCCTTTATCTAATGCCTCACAGCTCTGTTTCACCTTATTAACCAAGTCCACCCAAACGTCATCACCCCATGGATAAGCATTGAATGCATCCAAGTCATCAACTAAATTTATGTAGTATGCCTTCATGGGTCTAGCAACTTGATTCCCAAATAAGCAGTGTGAAACTATGTATAGTAGTGCCAGTTTGACTCCATCATTTGTCAGTCTGCTATCATCAGTGCTCTTGTAATTCTTCAATGCATTCTGAATATCTGCACGAGTCACAGTTGTCTTGCCTCCTAAATAATTTGTCCATATATCTCCCTCAAGCTCTTCAGAAATATTTGGTTTCACAGCTCCAAACTTTAAAGCACACATTACTGCAAGATCATGCTTCTGAAAACTGATCACATTGTCTTTAATGTTAAACCTGATGACACTGTCATCTGTCTTTCCATTAACTTCAGTCACAAAGTTTCCAATCAATCCCAAAATCAATTGTCCACTCAGCCAATGAATATCTTCTATTCTTAACATCCAACCAAATACAGTATTCTTGAACTCTGTCAGTTCCTCTGTGCTTAGATATGTCTTTATTTTCTTAAGAACCTCAGCAACATTGCAGTAGGAGTTGACACGCAAGTCTTCCAACTTCAGTAACACTGACTTCTTAAAAGCTCTTGTTATTGTCTGTCAAGTTCACACATATATATGCACTTTAATCACCATGTAAATGACTAACAATAATGACACTTCATACAAAATGACACTATATGAACAAGTAAAATTTATTAAACTGTCATTATTGCATCAGTTTCTCAATTTCTCATTATATGTGATGTCATTTTGCTTTGAAGCTCACACATATTCATACAATGTCATTATTTAATGCATAATGTCATGATAACATTCATATAAGGTTACATTTCCAGTACATAACCACATACAAAATGACACTATATGAACAAGTAAAATTTATTAAACTGTCATTATTGCATCAGTTTCTCAATTTCTCATTATATGTGATGTCATTTTGCTTTGAAGCTCACACATATTCATACAATGTCATTATTTAATGCATAATGTCATGATAACATTCAGATAAGGTTACATTGCCGGTACATAACCACATACAAAATGACACTATATGAACGAGTAAAATTTATTAAACTGTCATTATTGCATCAGTTTCTCAATTTCTCATTATATGTGATGTCATTTTGTTTTCAACCTAACACATATTCATACAATGTCATTATTTAAGGCATAATGCTATGATAACATTCAGATAAGGTTACATTTCCAGTACATAACCACATACAAAATGACACTATATGAACAAGTAAAATTTATTAAACTGTCATTATTGCATCAGTTTCTCAATTTCTCATTATATGTGATGTCATTTTGTTTTCAACCTAACACATATTCATACAATGTCATTATTTAAGGCATAATGTCATGATAACATTCAGATCAGGTTACATTGCCAGTACATAACCACATACAAAATGACACTATATGAACAAGTAAAATTTATTAAACTGTCATTATTGCATCAGTTTCTCAATTTCTCATTATATGTGATGTCATTTTGTTTTCAACCTAACACATATTCATACAATGTCATTATTTAAGGCATAATGTCATGATAACATTCAGATAAGGTTACATTGCCAGTACATAACCACATACAAAATGACACTATATGAGCAAGTAAAATTTATTAAACTGTCATTAGAGTAAACATGTCATTTACTCTATTGTGAATGCAATAGTATTCATCATAAGAGTTTTTGCGCGGCTAATTTAAAACGTATTAACATTCATCAAATTTGTTTCAAACCTTATTAACTGCCAATCGACATTCAATTGCAGGCATTATGATAAGAAATGAGTACATACCATTTTGGAATTGATTCTAACGGAAACTGTATTCGATAAATCCATAGTTTTGTCGTCAATGGCTTCGTCCTTCAACTATCCTCAACCAATCGGCTCTCCTCAATGAAACTCTCCTCAAGGAAGTTACGTCGACTAGGAAGCGGCAATCTCTCAACGGTAAGGCTTCCAATATATCTTCATTTAATTTTTGGAATCTTTTTTTCAGGGGTAATGATACTGGGAAATTGGAAACCGGGAGGTGCCGTAATGGGAGTTGTGTAACCGTCAAATGAGCTCAGAGTACGTGTAGCGGTTTGAAGGTCATTTTTGGCATTTCAACGCATAATTAGTCCTACGCGCGTGAGCTGAAACATGGGTGTCCTATTCTTGCAATTTCCATAAGTTTTGGTCTTATTTGGGGTAAAATTCTCAAAAAAAATACTGAATTTTGTTGTAAAATCCTGGAAATGACAAGTGTGAATTGTTCATCCTTGTCATCAATCCAGAAATTATGTTTAATCCTTGTAACCTAGTTAGAACTGATGGCTCAAATTGTTATTGCCACCAAATCTGTAGATTCATCTCTTAAGTGACTAATCATCAAGTTCAAACAGTATAAATAGGAGCTTGATGAGGCATTGTAAACTCACTCAGAAATTTAGAAAATATACAGATATTAAGAAGAAGTAATTTAGAGCTTTATATATATATATATATATATCTTAAATTTGATCTTCATCTTCTTTATTTCACAACACGTTATCAGCACGAATCAGCTCAAACTCTCCAATTAATCATCTTCCTGCAGGTAAGAACATCATTACTCCGTATGATTTCTTTACACTATTGTTCTCAAGTCACTAAAAATATTTTTGAAAATATAATACTACGTAAGTATTCTAATTGGTTTCCAAAATAAAATTTACGTACCTGGAATAGAAGTTTCCTTCCTTTCAAATGTCCTCCAATCTTGATTAGCTCTTCGTAGAACAAAAACGGAGGCAAAATCTAGCTTTAAAAGGAAGTACTGCTACGTAATACTTGTATAAAATAATTATATGACTTGAAAAGAAAAGAACAAAAAGGAATTGAAGAACTGGAGGAAAGAATAAAGAAATTAGGAGGATATGAAAGAAGCAAAGAAACGAATCGTAACTCTTTAGAGTTTAGACCGACTACCTAATAAATTATACTAGTAATATATTTAAGCCGTTCACGAGGTTTCATAGAAACAATAACCGTTTGGTGCACTGGCAACACAAGAAATGCTCAGATCACATGCAGGCTATCTAAATAAATGATTGGTATTGAGAGTTCGGTTATAGTTGTTTTATTAAGCAAGATACCCGTGACTATTAAACATGTCAGCAAAAGCTAATAACTCAAGTTTTGTTGTTGTTTACCGTATTGTTTGATCTTTGACATTATTTCAATTTATCCAAGTTACACAATATTTGAATGATTGAT